AATGGCCTTGGTGACACAAAGCAGGGTTTTTAAAACACTTTCATAGTTGACATCTGCATCCAAACCCTGCAATAGGATTATCATGGCATCTTCAATAAGCCTCGAGACTCCATTCGCTTGCTCCACGTTGTAATGCCCCCCATCTAAAGTATTCATTGACACCCAAAAAAATTGTCACACACCAACTATGCAGATCACAAAAAAATATCACCATAATAAACTGATCAGGAAACTGCAAGTAATACCAATCAAGAAACTACAAATGCTAATCAAACTAACTGATCAAGAAACTGCACACTTCGACATTCAAATCCAATGGAAGTTTAAGATTTGAAATTTAGATGATGGAAAATGCATGTAAACATATCCAATGAACATGAATTCAAACCATGTAAAGTGCTTTCTGCAATCTTGATCACTTTATTTTCAAAATAAATTCCAAAGCCTAAAATCCATTATGCCGAACAAAGCCTTGAAAATTTAAGTAGCCAAATCAACGACAACAAAAAATGTTCATCCCCAGTTACTCCACTATTAATAGCTTCAAAAGAAAATTTGGTGAAAAAAAAATTCTAGCTTTGCACATAACAGTATGTGACAATGACTATTACACACATGAATAAATAGGATTGTTATGAGCAACTTTTGAAACTCAGGCAAATATTTGACTCTGACATCTATAAATTCATGAGCCAGAGGAACATAATGTGATCTCTTGCGCAACCTACCTTTCCTATTTTTACATTCTAGCTCTACGCTTAGGATCATTCATACTCTTCACTCATGACTTCCACTCAAACTGCTTTCTTTGCAGCTCTGTGTAACGCAACCCAGTTGAAACAAAACACAAAAATGGTTACAAAATTGATCTCACATGAGTGTCTAAATAGGCCTCAAACAATTCGGTACCAACAATGTAGTGGTAATGAACATTTAAACCACTAAAAATTAAACTGCAGCCAAATCAAGACCAACAAAAAATAGACAATAAAGATATCCAACAAATGAACATTAGAGAAAAGTAGAGAATGACATTGAGGCTCACCTCAACAGAGTAAATCAGTGTGGATTGTCAAATTATATGGAGAGTGCTAAGTAGCTCAAAATCCATATTACCATAAGGTCCCATAACTTCAACTGCCAGCAATTTGCGTGAACACAATTGAACTTAATGTAGTGGGTAAGTGGTGATAACAATAAATGTACTGTAATGAGAAGAAAAAAAAAACAGGCAAACATGTAAGCGAACTCAATTACACAATAAATTCAGAAAAAAAAAATAATGACAAAACTCAAACATGTAACATCTTAGGACATAATACACAATTCAAACATGTTTAATCTATGATTTATCTCAATCCCATACCATTTAAATTTCCAAACAACAAAGCAATATACATATATACAAATATGTTGCCTCCACGGAAACATATGTCTTAACACTAATGAATATGTCAACAAATAAAAAAATTTCACAAACAACTACTGGATCCACCAACTAAGCAATGCATTCCAATTTCTCAAATAGCTTCTGAATACATCAGCAAATAAAAAAAATCAAGAAACTTTATCCATTCCTCCAAAAATTCCATGATAAAAAAATCATTCATTTGAACACACTCGACAATCACAAATCCCTTCTCCTATCACAAAATAAAAAAAAAAAAAATTATTTTCACAACCAATACCTCAAACATTAGAGTAAAACAAAATAATAATTCTAGTATTGCACAATTAACAATAAAGCAGACTAAACCCAAAGCGCAAGTAAATTTGGTGCTCAGTTTATCCAATTAACGACTCTGCATTGGTTGGGCCATCAACATTTGTTCTCAGAAGATTGTCCGTAACTTCAGACTCACAGATATACTATCTTTCTAGTTGATTGCATTTTGGATTTCTGTATTACCGAACACTGATTTGTGGCTATATTTCCAGTGCAACCTAATAGAGAATTTCGTGATATGGAAAATATGGTGCCTTAGTGTTGGGTTTTTTTTTTTACTTCACGATTCAATTGATTTTTAAGACATGCAAAGTGCTCGAAAGCAGACTATAACATAGCCAATGTTGAGGCTGGAGCATTTGGTCGAATATCTTTTGTGCGTGTGTTTGTGTGTATTTTCCGTTTTATGTGTGTCATTGTGTGCTGTGTGTGTTGTACGATGGGAGTAGTTGAGAGAGAAAGAGAAGAGAGTCATGCATGGCAGCTAAGAGAGAGATGAGCAGATAGTTAGAGAGAGAAACAGAGAGTTGTTCTTGGCAGCAGAGAGAGAAGCAAGCAGCGACTGGAGAATCAGTGGCTTTGATATCGACGGAGAGAGAGGAGATTTGGGGGTGGACAGAGAGAAGCAGCAAGAGGGAGAGGCTGATTTCTATGGCTTGAGTTGGGGGATAGATGAAAATTTGGGCATTGCTGCTATGGAAATGAGATCTCATTTTGATTTCCGATTGAGAGTTAGACAGAAAGTCAAAAGGAGAGAAAGATGTCGTGTTGGAAAGTAGAGGCATTAGCGGCATTCCATGAATGGAAATTTGTGTGGGCGGGAAAACAAAAACATAAACAAACATAAAAATTGAACTTTTTTTGTCTAAATTTATACCTTTAACACGTTTTTTTATCCCAAACCTGCAAAGCCCATATACAAAATATAACCTTTTTTTGCCCAAAGTTGCAGATTTAATATTTTTTATATACCAAACGCTCAAAACTCACAAACTATAATAGACTTTTTACATGTTCGCAAGACCTGTAAGCCATAAGCTCAACCTTGTATTGGTTGAAGTCGTAACAATTTCTTGTGTTTGTCCAAATTCACATATTCACACCCTTTTTATCAAAAGAAACAGAATTCAATGTTACCTTTGTCTACATTTACCTATCATCGCCCTTCCTATCCCAAATCCTAGGATATCATCAATAAAATCAATCTTTTTTTCTTCAAACTTACAAATTTAATTATCGATCGTTTAAAGCAAGTAAATTGGGACCCACCCAAAAAATAATGTTACAAATTCATTAAAAATACCTTACATTATTATTGTCGGTTGCAACTGTTGCTTTTGCAAGAGTGTGATAGAGGTAGAAATACTCTCCAGAAGTAAACAAATCAATAACATCAAATTAACATTGAACCAAAACAAATTTGGCTAATCTTTAGTTCAATGTGTTTGAAAACATTTCAATGTGCTTGAAAAATATAATAAGTCTAACACGTTGACCACCAAAAGTGTGTATAAAAACATTTCATCAAACATAATGTATGTGACACTCAAATAAATATCCCATAAATTCTTATAAGATATCGTCAATTGATAGTTATTATTGCAATAAAAAAAAGAATAAATTAAAAAATATTGCCAATTGCAATTGATTTTTACAACATATAACGCAACCACAACAAATAATATTTGGAAGATTTACCTATCATACTGCAATGGGAAAAGAAAGAACAAAGCCAAGACGAATTCCAAGATTTTGCAACTTGAAGCAATCCAGATTTTTTTGAAACCCTCCATGTAGCAAAGTGCAATACTTCAATTTAAACAGTTAAAGCACACATCATCACCAAAAAAATTCCAAAAAGAAGTCAACAAATTATCGAAAACTCATTTGAAATACATCAAAAAAAATCTAGCTTTAAGCAAAAATCTCAATTAAAATCCAGAAATCAACATCAAAATTCAAAACAAAAAAGCCACCCCAAACTTCAATAACACAAATTCTTAAAAGCAACGACAAACATATCAAAAGTAAGAGGATCTTCCAAGAACAACCTCAACTTCGAAGCCTTCTTCACCTTTGAGAGCAGGGACATAACATTCCTTAACACAAAAACGTGCATATTTCAGAGCATAAGTAGAATGGATATTTATTCAAAGAATCACCTGAGCTAATTCATATTTTTCTATAATCTTCCCCTAAGACAAAACCAATAGAAATCTGCACGGCAAACAATCACCACATAACTACCTCAACTCCATTTTTGCCCCTAAATCCAAACATATCAATAGTTAGTCACAACTCAATCCATTATACGTACACAGACACCCATTAGTAACAATTCAACAGAAGAAAACGACAGTAAAAGGGCAATCCAAGAGACACCCAACCCGCAGAATATCCACCCGCACCATTAAGAAAGAGAAGAGAGAAGAAATCTCTTCCTAAAAACCCAAAAGCCTCCCAACCGAGAATCCTCTGATGTTGCCTCTGTGTGTGTTCTGCTAAAAACCAAAACGCAACCCCTCTTTACAAAGACATCAAACCAAAAGCCCCCTCAACCCAGAATCTTCTGTGTGTGTTTTGCGAAACCCCCAAAACTGAGTGTGTATGTTTGTGGTATGCGCTGTGGGTGTGTGTGTGCAATGTGATATCGATCACTCTCCCTAATGGGGGTTAGTGTGTGTGTAAAAGAGATAGAGAAAGATCAGGAATACCTGAGAGGAATTAGCAGTGGCGGTGGTGCTAGTGGTGTCGCTAGGGGCGCAAGAGAGAGAAAGAAGGGTCAAATTTTTGAATGAGTGAAAGGGAGGAAAAAAAAAAAAGAAACAGAAGATGTAACCGGAGAGACATGACTCGTTTGATAGAAGAGAGGGAAAAAAAAAAAGAAGAAACGAGTGAGGTGATTGAATATTGATTGAAAGGTCAGAATTTTGAAAAATATTGTTTGTGAAAAATGATAATTTTGAGGAAAAAAAATGATGATATTGTGAATAATTTTAGGTCGTTAGATAAATTGATTTAAGACCATTAAATGTTGAAATCGTACAATTTTATATTATAAATTTATTTAATTTATATTGTCGTGCAGATAGTTGTATTTAATTATCTCAAACCGTTAATTAAGAAGCTGCGTGCGTTGTGGCGTCAACCGCATCTCGAGCTCTTCATCAACTCCTCGTTCATTTCTCTCCTCATTGAAATAGTTTGTAGAGTCGTCTCGTCTTACCTTCCGATCAACGAGATAAATTTAGAATATTTACCGTTGTATGAAAAAATGCTTGCAATCGGAAATCTATCGTTGATTTGGCGTTCTTCGCCGGACTTTGAGATAGCAGACTCGTCGTCCTCGTATCTGCCGGTGAAGTTTGGTTTTGTGAAGTTGTCCGTGTCCAATTGCAGAAGCAAAAGCTTGGGGCTGAATGGGACGGAGCTGAGGTCGAGCGTTTTGGCGTCGATTAAGGCAATGGACGTTTCGAGAACGTCTTATATTAACGGTGAAGCTGATAATATTCCGGATTTGCACCAATCTGAATGCAATGTGAACGACGATGAATCGAATGGAGTTTCGGGTACTAATTTTTGCTAATTTCAGATTATCTTCTTTATGGAAATTTGAAATATTTAAGTGTACTCTCATTTACCGAAATAAACAAAAAGAGATTTGAAATGTGGTGAACTTTATATCTTCATGTATATATCTCTATTCTCTGCGCATGTATGTGTACATTTGTTGGTGCTACACATTTATGCAGTTATTTGACGTGAATTTGTATTTCCCATTTTTATTTATTATTATTATTTTTGGGGAGGGGGAAGAGAACTTGTAAACAAAGTATCAAACACCCAATTAGGCTTCAATTCACTTCTGATTTATCTTAAATACTAAATCTCCAAAATGAATTCTAATTTTTTGACACTTTGACTTTGTAACTAGGACTAGGCTAGTTGGCCACCTGGACCAACTAGGGCGTCAGGGGGTCAATTCTTGTCAAAGATAAGTATTAATCTCTTATATCCCATTCTTTGAGGGTTGTATTTAAGTTCTTTGTCCGCCGGTGTTGTATATTGCTCTTCTTACGGGCTTGTTCCTTGCTGGCATATCCAAAAAAATTATGGATACTGTGAAAGGTCATAGGTACTGTAGCTGGTTGCGTCTCTAGTTAGTCAAGTCATGTGATCGTAACCCTTATTGTACCTCCACGTTTGTGAAGGGGGACAATTGTGTAAGTATGGGAATTGTTTGGGGAGGGCTACTCCATTTTATGAATATGACTAATTGGTTTGCACTAAAAAAATTATTTGGATTCTAATCATTTGCTGGTTATCTAACTAGGTAAGACGCTCCGTCAGATGTCTACGGTCGGAAAGTCCACGAATATTGTTTGGCAGAAATGCTCAGTCGAGAAAATTGACCGGCAGGAGTTGCTTCAGCAGAAAGGTTGTGTCCTATGGATTACAGGTCTCAGTGGTTCAGGTTTGTGTACACAACTGTCAGTTTTCATTAGCTACTTGAATCAAATATGATTGGCCCTTGGGGATATATTTGCTGTATACTTTGTCATACTTCTTTACTGTTTTGATGTTTAGATTTGAACTTGCTCATAGCGTCATTCTAGTGCACAACTAATATCATTTGAAGAGACAGAGACTGAAGAGTCTGGATACGACAAGAAAAAACACATGGTGAGAAAGTAATAATAGAATTAAGAATTAGATTATCAGGATAATTGGGGAACGAGAATTGTGTATTGTCTCAACTACATAATGGTGAATGCTAACAAATCATACATGATGCGTTGATTTAAGCAAAGCAAAAGGTGAGGTGACATACGAAACTCTCTCTTTAGGGTAAGAATATTTAGTCTTCCGTTAAAAGTAAGATATTTATCAATGTTAATGTCTGGGAAATGTAAGTATCTGAACATTTTGTACTGACTTTTCTGTGAAGACCAATGAATCAGGTTGGTCAGGACGGTGCAATCTTTAACTGAGTGCCACCAAAGAAATAAATATCTCGATATGACCACAGCAATTATGTTGAACTTAAGTAAAATGTAGCTGGAGTATCCTATTCTTTTTTTATGTTTTTCCCTTTCTTTTCTTTTTTCTCGGGCATCAGAGAATCATTCATTTTGTTATTCTCCTTTTTTATTTTCTGTGATCTTGATTTTCAATACCTTGAACTTTTACTTCAGGAAAGAGCTCTTTGGCATGTGCTTTAAGTCGAGGCTTGCACTCTAGAGGAAAACTGACTTACATCCTTGATGGTGATAATGTTCGTCATGGTCTGAACAGTGATCTAAGTTTTAAAGCAGAAGATCGTAGAGAGAACATACGACGGATTGGTTGGTTCTTTTCCAGCCTAACTCATGAATAGACTTTGTTCCCAAATCCGCTCCATTTATTCTTTTTCAGATGATGCTCAAATTCTGTATATTTATGGTTCACAGGGGAAGTAGCAAAGCTCTTTGCAGATGCTGGAGTTATTTGCATTGCCAGTTTGATATCTCCCTACAGGAAGGACCGAGGTGCATGCCGTGATATACTTCCAGAAGGAGATTTCATTGAGGTTGGTTCTTCAGCCCTTTGGAATTAATATGAAGGCAAAAAGAGAGTTTTTGAACTGACAACAGTCAATTCTTTCCAATAGTAACTGACAAATCTACCTCTACATACAATTCACAGGTATTTATGGATGTGCCTCTCCAAGTGTGCGAGGCAAGGGACCCTAAGGGCTTGTACAAACTTGCACGAGCTGGAAAGATTAAAGGTATCTTTCAAGAGTCGGAACAGAAATCTGACGTTATGAAATCTGGATGATGGGTTTTCCTTCCACCTTCTTCCTAATATTATTTTTGTGCGTGATCTTTCGAAACCATTTGTTTGTTGATTGTGAATCGAAGGCAGGTAAATCAAAAGTCTTGGAAAAAAACCATCTCCTTTAGGCAACTTCTCCTGCAGATGAACTCAGTTGTACCTAATAGACATTAGCACAGTTCTCATGAGCACTCTAGACAGGGGGAGGGGTGGTTTTGTTAGTTGTGAATCACTTCGAAGGATATCCTCTGGATCCTGTTAACATAATGTTGCCTTCAGTTTGTCATCTTGGGGAGTTCTATCATATTATATTACAGTTATGATTACTTGATCGCCTTATCACTAATCTATCCCTCCTGAGTTCCCTAATTTAATTTCTTAGACTAGAAATTCAACTTCCTTTTCACAGCTTTTTCGGAAGATAAAAATAAACACACTTACGATTGTGGCTGAAATCAAAGCTATATGAGGTGGACAAATTTCTCATTTTGCTTCCTTCTTCTCTGCACCTGCATCAGGTTTTAATTGTTAATTTAAATGTGTTTTTTTACTGTCACTTTTGCAGGATTTACAGGAATTGATGATCCATATGAGCCACCACTTAATTCTGAGGTATGTATCTCGTCGGAAGAGTTATCCTAGAGATATTGTTGCTTGAACTCACACAAACATGGGCATGCCCTTACATAGAAGAAATCGTGCTTTTAAAAGATATATTTATTCTGGTCTAAGTGATAGTCTCAACATTTTCTAAATCGGAGAGCCAACAATTGAAAGGAAGGAATTATATCTAAAGAGCTGCCAAATGATCAACTGTTAGAGTTGCATTGCAAACAACTTCTTATTCAGATAGGCCATGGTTTCTTCTTTCTTCTCCAATCTGTTTATGTTAGACTTACCACCTTGCAGATAGTTTTACACCAGAACGGAGGGTCCTGTGATTCCCCAAGTGAATTGGCTGAAAAGGTGATTTCTTACTTGGAGGAGAAGGGGTACCTGGAAGGCTAGTTTGTAAATGCCTCATCCCTGGCTGTGGAACTTGTGTATACTGTAAGCTTCAGAAGTGGAAAAAAGCAAATTTATCGTGGTAAGGAAACTACTCGTTTCCTGTGTCCACGATTCAATCATATTTAGTGTTAAATTAATTAATCGATTGATTAATTACTCTCACCCTTCATTCTTATGTCATATGAGAGGTGATGTCTGTCTTACCAGTTGTTTGATTGCCATAAATTTGATAGAACCGTGGGTAAAAACTCATTGTAGGATTTGTATATTATATGAACAGGCTTATGGTTGTGGAATAAGAGGTTGCTTGAGATTTTCCAAATGCAGATCTCTATTAATTGTGCAAACACATGCTGTCTGGACTTGCAACATATCTATTTGATTAGAGACAAGGACAGAATTAGAACAGAAATGGAGAGGAATAGTTTGCTGACGAGAGAGGGGAAAAACACTCCCAATTGTGAAAATCACAGGAAAGCTACATCCTGCTGACCTCGTCCTAGAAACATGCCCAACACGCAGGACATAAGAGCCATGGTGAAGTTCCGAGCAACAGAAGTTACAGCCTCAAAAATGGCAGCAAAACGCAGTTCTCGCGAGCGCCAAAGCATTTCAATGCACTGACCCAAGCCATCCACCAGCGTTGCAATCAATATTGCCATCACCTAAAAGAAGAGACCAACCAAATGCACCACCACCTACACTACACTTCTTCTCTGCTTCAGATTCTAAAAAACTCTGGGTAAGAGAAATACTTTCTTCAGATCCAGATAGGGACAGAGCCCATTGATTCCCATTTGGAAGTTTTCCACCTACTTCTTAATCTGCATTCATATCGAGGAAAAAGCATATCATTAAATTACCATATAACACCTTGCACATAAATAGAAGGATAATTCTATGTGCACCAAATCAACGCTAGTTGTTAGATCAGTGATGGGACTCACTAATCCAACAGTTACAAGTGATTTGGTGCATATAAATAGAAAAGAATTGCAGGTATCACGCTGGTTGTTTTTGTTTACTCGTACCCACTGTTACACAGTTGATCTTCTTCTTCTCTGTGGGGAGGCAGTTCTCAATGGGTCACCCATCAAACAAAATTCCTTTACGAATCCCTAGCTATTTGTGAGCTCACTCAGACCAGTTTGAACAATTTAGTATTTCCTCGTCAAACTGGTCAGTTCACAAAACGAACATTTTTTGATTTACATTTCTTTGGAAACCAGGATGATATCAACTACAAAACAAATCTGATAATCCCAACGTTTTTACCTGACAAAAGTACTTTAGAGTCCAAGGAGAAGTGTACATGGTAACTCTGAATATTACTGCAACTGCAAGTCTCATTTCATAAGGCTGGTCGATTCCAAGATAATGTTACAAATTTAGTTTTAATATCTATCCAGTTCAAAAAAATAATAATATCCCTCCAATTACTTATTGTTATGCCACAACTTCCATGCGATACTAATGCAGTAATGCTACAGGTTAATCAACCTGGAATTACCAATTGCCAGGACACTGTAACTTGTGTCACTGTAATTTGTTGCTCAGATCCTCTATTTGACATGAGAAAATGGCAATGGAGGTTCAGATGCTGTAAATAGCTAGCAGGTTGATTATTTGACCAGGGTACAGTTAGGCTTTGTAACCGAATGGTATGTGTTAACAATCTCAGAAGTTTACCTGCATATCTCTGGCTATAGAAGGTAGCCATCTCTCTCCCCTAATTCTTTTAAGTTCTGCTACTCTTTCTTCCTCTCTTTTAGCAGCTGTTTTAGCTGCTGCATCTCTAGTTTGTCGTCTGGCTAATGATTTCTGGCCAGCATCTCTTGCTGCAGCTATTATATCCATCCCATCAACAGCAACTGATCGGAGTTGACATCTAAACTGCAATCATCATTGCAGCAGTTTTGCAAAACCAACAAGTGAAATACAACTAAGAATGTTAAGATCATAAAATAAATGATAAATCAACCATAAACAATGTAGAAGACATCCATGAATAGGTAAACCTTAGTTGATTTTTCATCAATCCCTTTTCCAGGAAGGATCCTTGGCCTCTTTTTTGGTCCTTGAAGTTCATCTGTTTACATACACAAAACTTTTACTCCCTATATACAGCATGGAACATGGATTATGTAAATGCACCACAAAGTTGAGATCAGAATAGGAAAAAAAAATAACAAATAAAAAGGCCAACCCATTCATGACCCATGATCCTTTGAGCCAATCCTAAACAGGACCTAGAGAATTATATCTACTGGCAAGGTAAGAATCTTGCAATCCTCTGAAGTCACTGGCTGGTCCAGTTGTATCTGAACCATCAATACCAGATGAGCCTTACCATTTGATGGACCTGGGCGCTGCAAGTCTTAAGTGCGGTGACTTGCAGCTGAGCTGTGCAGAAGCTCATAAGTTTAGTTACATTGACAGATGTATGTTCCATATCTGGCAGTGAAACATAGTTAGTGCAGTCATTTTTGTTTTAACAACGCTGCTTTTTGATTAATTGCTTGAATTTACAATTTGATTTCACGGCCACTACTGACAGCAAACAGTATCAAGAGATCCACTCCTTGTCCCATTAAATGACAGAAGGTTATACTTGCATCATCTGCTTAAAATAAAGAAAGAAGGAACTTAAAAAATGCAATATTAACATTTTTTTCAGTTTTAGGACCCCAATCCTTCTAGTTGTAACATGTAAATAACAATGATGGAAATATTTGAGCAGATCTACTTACTTATGTGATCAAATATTATCCCAGGGGGAGCATGTTTAAACAATCGAATTCCACCACCATCCATCACAGGATCATCATCTGGGACATGAACAGGATCCCTCACCACTTCTATGGTCTTCTCAAGTATGTCATCCAGAACTTTTTGTGCCTGTCCAAGAGTTCATCATGTGCAAAGGTTGCAATGCAATTTATCAGAACAGTAAAAGGCACTGGGAGGTCAACATTTGCATGCTTGTATACAACAGATTCACTAAGGCTCTCTCTACACATCTAAATATGTGCATTTGAGCCAACAAAGTTTAGAGTTTAGACTTAAGCTTCCAATTACTAAAGCCCCACACATCGCAGTCATTTTCCATATAAAGTAGTCAATTTGTTCCAAAGAGAATGGCCAATGTTTCACTGGACACATGATGAAACAGATAATACTCCAAGTCTCCAACCATACTCCATGTCTCCAACCACTACTAAACCTATGTATGCAACAATTTCTATTGCAGTGGTTCCGTTTCTTAAAAGATGTAAAAATTTCCTTCAACATAGAACCGTGAAGGGAAAAACCATTCAAATCACCCACCATTGAAGAGTAAAGACTTAAAACTCAAGACCTGAGGACTAAAGACATTCAAGGAACCCCACATCACATGAACCACAAACAAGAGCCACATTCCAGTAAAAACATATTCGTTATGAAAACAGGCACTACTAAAAAGTACATCAGAGAGAGAGAGAGAGAGAGAGAGAGAGGAGAGAGAGAGAAGGGCAGTAGTCAAAAAACACAAAAGAAAATGATTTTTATGGAAAAGTTTCCACTAAAATCGTATTATTAGAAATATAAGAGCCTGGGACTAATGGAGAACTATAAAGAAAACAATATACTCTATTCTAACTTAGAATTCCAGTCTGAGACAGTAAAATGCTCCAAAATCACTCCAACAATTCCATCTCTGAAACAAAGGCAACCAAAATACCTTAATCTTGAACCTACACATGTATCAGCACAATTAAAAAGACAAGCTCGATTCGACCAAAAAAAAAAATATAGCTGATCTCCATTCTAGACAGCAGATTATGCATCCTCAACCCATTGTGCAAAAGTTAGGGTACTTGACATTGCATGCAACGGTTGCACACAAGACCAAATGCACTATCTCAATATGCTTGACAATGAATTGCTACATATGTATCATCCGCAGAAGTAGCTCTGAGAGTATCACCCAAAGAAGAATGAAGGAGGCTAGCCAGGTTGGAAAAGATTAGTTGAAGGAAAAAGTCGAGAATGACGTGGTTAAGGGAGGGGGATAAGAACATAAAGTTCTTCCATCGAATAGCGAACGACGAGAAGAAGGTAAACACCATATCCAGACCGGAGGTAGAAGGGGTTGTTCTGGAGGAGGAGGAGGAAGCAATTTGATTAGCGGTCGAAAAGTTCTCAAAGCCTCAATACGAATGAAACTGTAATACAACCATCCATCGAAAAATCCATAAGAATGCACGGTTCTAAGAGTAAAACTCTAGGTTCAAATATGCAATGTCGCAGTATTCGTTGATCATCCATTAAATTCGAACAAAAGGCACAGCTACATACAGAATAACGAAATGGAACACAGTGAGAGGAGGAAAGAGACTGACCTTGACCTGGTAGTGTTTGAGGAGTTGAGGTTTGGGGTTCTCTAATTGAACGTTTTGGGCTGGATGGACTTTACGACTCGACGTTGAACCGTTGGAGGTAGAGGCAAGACCGTTGGCGGTGGATCGGCTAAAAGAAGTGGTGGCCGCGACGGAATCGATGGCGGCTCTCCAATCGGCGTCTCCGTCATCCTCTCCACTGCTGCTTCTGCTTCGACCACCCCCGCCACCACCCATTTTTCGGCAGCAATTGCTGTTTTCTCCGCTGGGCCCGTGCCTAAGTTAAACTGGTTATTGGGCTCTCTCTGGGTGTTTTAGTTGTGGAGCAACACACTAGAAAAACCCAATGGGCCATCTTCCATTTTCTCAGGAATTTCGATTCTCTCCGATACAATTTTGTTTTTAATTTTTTCTTGGCAAGTTATCGACTACTAATGTAGAAAAGACTCACTTGTATATAATAAATTATATTTTAAATGCACGGTCAATAACCGTCAATTTATATATACAGATATAGGCCCCCTCAAAATCTAAAAATTATCATTGTCCCCCCTATATTTTTTAAAAAATTTATTGCTCACCTCTAACTTTTTAAAATACCCGATATGTAAGTGTCTCACTTAGTTCATTAAAAAATATCAATAGATGAGTGTCGTTTATACCAGGGGCGGCTTGAGCTTTAAATCCTATTTTTACAGAAGGCTTTAAATTTTTAGGTATCATAAATAGTTCATATAAAAAAATTAAATTCGTAAATACTTTAAGTCCTACAAAAAGACCTTATAAAAATACAAGTTCAATCAAAAAAAATATAAAAATTAAGGCCTCATTTCAAGGAAAGGCCTCATAATTTATAGGTGTACAGTAATAGGCTAACCAAAAAATTTAAATCCATGTCCAAACAAACATTTTCAATTTAAATAGATTGAGCCTATTAATTCAACTGTAAAATTAAAAAATCTTAAAATTTATTGTTTAAAAAAAATATCTATAAAATTAAAACTACTAAAAAATTTAGTTTTAATAACTCTAAAATAAGTGAAGTTTAAACTTACCATCATAATTTTTCAATCATTCTTTCTCTCTCTTACCATTAAGTTTAAATATGATAACAAAAACTTGAATATAAAATTTTAATTAATATTTTTGTATTTAAAAATATTAAAAATTAAATTTATTATTAATATTAAAAATAAAAAAAGCTCATTTATCGTTTCCGCTTTAGACCGAAAAATATCTCCAGCCACCTCTGGCTTGTACCCATGAAGACACTTATTGAAACAAGTAACTTTAAACAAAAAAATAGAGATAAAAATATGATTTATATCAAAATCAATTTGTTAACTTATAATTCATTTTTATTATGGCATCATATGTAATTATTATTTGTGATCATAATTTGTTTAGATTACATTATAAACAAACAAAAAAGAGGACAATAATATTGTTAGAAATGAAATTTTATGAACCATTTTTTGAGTTTTGTGCTCAAAATTAATTTTTTCAATGGCATTGCATAAAACTTAAATTTAATAGATTTTTTATAAATAAAAATTTATCATTAACAATAACTTGATTGGATAAAATCTTAGTTGTGTGTGTGATTAGAAGGGATGTCCCTTCCTTTCTTACATCGTTTTTTGCAACCTTAGTAATCCCTATTCTTGTTCCTACAAACTAGATTTGATGTAGACTGTGTGTTGGTCTGCTGCATTTGCATGATTCGGAGTTTGAGGGAGTGGGATGAACAGGCAGGCACGTCGGATCCATAAAATACATTGAATAATCAAATATAAAAGTTTAAAAAATTGAATTGCGATCAAAATAAAAATAAAAATAAAAATCAATTTAAATTTTATTGGATGGCATGCTTAGTTGCAGTTGAGTAATGTGGAATTGGTTTTTTTTTTTGGGTGTATTTTAAAATTTTCATAAATTATCTGTCTGCAAATGATTAATTTCTATAGTTGAGAAAGAGTCAATATTGATGGGCAGTACTTGGTCCATATCAAGGGTAATTTCTAGTAGTTACAAATAATTAGTTTGTCCTGTGAGAAAATAGGTCTTTAGTTTCTAGAAATTGTCATTACCTAGTTTAGAACTTCTCCATGTTACGAAGGAGAGAGAGACAATAGTGAATTAGATGTATATTAGGTTTAACAGATCGAGTCCTGTTAGAAGTGAATTCCGATCTCCCTTATCAACTTGGCAAAAACCATAATATTTGTTATCTTAAACAAATTGAATTTTACTCCAATCTTCAATGAGATGATTATTTCAATCATTTATCATCATCATTATAGGCATAATTTTCCCAGTCCACTTCTATAAAAGCCCACACACATACACTAGTAAAAGTACAACGTGGACTAATTCATTGCATTCTCAAGACACTAATTTTAGGATTCAATGGCTATTTTTTTTTTTTCTTTTTTCTGTAACGTTGGTTCTTTTGGGGAAGTACAGTTCATTAGATTCTTCTAATACGTATCTAGCCATCAATCATGACTGCCCCCTAACATTTATGTCAGAGTATTCAGGTTAATTTACTTATATTTTGATTCAATTCGAATGCAACTCGAATTTCAAATTCAAACCACTATTTATAAAGATGAGATTCAACACATATTCCTGTTTGGTATACCTACGTATACATCACTGTTATGATAATATATTTGTATATAAATAATTATTGTGCCCCTTCACTAATCTAATCTAAACTCATGTTTGTATACGTATGAGATATAATTATCTTTTTATATCTTGAATCCGTTAGTCCTCAACCGAACCCCCCCCTATGGGTTTGATAAAATTCATATTTTAGGATTTAAGGTCTGGGCCAATAGCGGGACGGGTTTGGTAACTCAAGCTTCAAATTTTTGGTCAAACACGAGTTTAATGTGTTATTTAGACTATTTTTTTACAACTCATATTCCAAAGTAAGGTTGTTAGTCGAATGAGCTCAAACCAAGTTTGAGTTAAGTTTGAAAAGTTTGTTTCTTAATCGAGTTTAAAATATTGTTTAAGTTTGGCTTGTTTTGGAAACGAACCGAACTTGAGCTAGCTAAAAATAAGTTGAGTTTGAACCGAGCTCGAGTATTTACACACAAACGAGTCAAGTCTGTCGAGTTTGAGTTGAACTTGTAGGACTTGTTTTCTAAACGAACTTAAAAACTTGTTCTAAGTTTGGGGACTTGTTTAGAAAACAAACCGAGCTTGAACCCGAGTCGAACTAAAACCAAACTCAAATAACTAAATTTGATTAACAGTATTATTCTAAAGCCCCAATCCCACTTACCAAATTGCCTCACAATCTCTAATCTATTGTTTTCAACTGTTGCCTTACTCCCTCATTGGTCACTTTTTTAGTCAATTGATCTCCAAAGGTGCACTCGCTAAATAGAATCTCTTTAATTATTTCTGTTTTTTTTAAGGAGAAACCTCTCTAAGGTCATATTGAATTCACCTACAGAGTAAACCTCTCCCAGACATATTGATGAAACACCAAAAGTTGCTAACAAAAATTAAACTTAAATTGTCTGAATTCACATTTCACTCCAACCTAATCCCGTCCCAGGCAACGGATCACTACTCGGGCTGCTGTATAATTCCTTAAATATTGGTCTTCTTATTGCGGTTCTTGTCTGTCCTTATGGTAAAGCGATGGTCATCGTGGGAAGCAGCCACAAGAAGCAAAAGACATGATCATTTCTACGTGTGAGAGACGCATAAGTGGCCCAGGAGACGACCACAACACTCGAAAGGTTTCTTCGTTGATCAGTTTGGCCCACTATAGTATAGATGATAGGACAGGTCAAATAATAATAGAAATAAATTATAAATTTAAACTTATTTTTCATGAATAATTTATTCTCTGCGTGAATAACATGTTTTTGAATAGATTAGAGAGAAAATTAATCGAATTACGCGTAAATTGGTTCAGACATCCATAACCATTAAAATCAAAAAAATAAAAAGAGGATGGAGATTGAGCCTTTTAGTTTTTTTTTTACAATAACAAATACTCGTTCCAACTATAAGTTGTCGATGGTAAACTCTAAAGTTACAGTCAGAGAGCACTCAAACTCAGAAAGTGCAAGTTTACGATAGGTCACTGAATTAATCCGCATATTATGTTTTTTTATTTGAGTGACGTGGACACATGAGGATTAACTTAGTGGCGACCAGTTGGACACAACCCGTGTGTCGCGTAAAGCAGGTCCACAAGATATGACTTGTGTTGTGAAGCTTCTTTCAGACTGCAAGGTGGAGGGAGGGATCATGATGATAGATAAGATAAAAAACCTCAGTTTAGCCAGGTGTTCTTTCTCTTAGTAGGGTCTTTCACCACTATTAAATGAAGGGACTAGTGGGTAGGTCTCTCAACGAATTGAATTTTAATTTTAATTTAATTAATTAAGTATGACTTAATTTTTTTATTAATAATTTAATTTTAATTTTAAATTTAATATCTTATGTTTTATGAATTCGAATTTGAATATACATATATCTGATTCGATTATAATCTTATCCGAATTATTTATATATTTTTATATAAATATTAAAAAAAATTAGTTGACATTTAGATATAATTTGTTAAATCTTAGTTAATTAAGTTATTCGGATCGATTTTCAGATTATTAAAGGATTCAGATATGGATCACAAAAAATAAAATCCATCAGATTATCAAATTAAATTCAGGTCGAATTTTTAAAATCAAATTCAAATTCGGATTAAACAGAATCCGATTCAAATTTGATCCGTTGACAAACCTACTAATGGGTGTGGACAAGGAGAGTTGGTTAAGTAACACTATTATTATTGAAATATAATTTAGGGACAAAATGTATTGTGATTATTGAATTGATAATAAAATATATTTAAGATTTTTTTTGGTCAGAGAATATGGGAGAAAGTGACGACCAATAGATAATGATCCCTTTTGGCGTGACCATGAGGACCTCTCCCGATGTAGAATATTTGGTTAATCATAATTGCAGACTCATTTGAAGTATCTCGACATCACCCCATCGCCAAAGCCTAAATAGCATGACATGAGAATTTTATAAATCGAACCCTGCTTGTTAATCTTATGGGAGTTAAAAACAATTCTAAGACGGGCATATTTTATCACTAGACCACCAACTCTAGTGATTATTTACGATTAAAATCTATGATAATGTAATAATTGTAATTATTATATTCTTAAATTATATTTCGATATTTTCGTTAAGTAGCGCCGTGTCAAACCAAACGACACCATACATCAAGTCGGTGCATTTTGATGATGTCGTCAAACATGATAGGCCATCATACATAAGACATAGACTTCATCTGTTATAAAGTCACCTCTCCACAAAATGAGTAAATTAAAGAATTGTCACCCCAGGATATTTAAACTTAAACCCCTATCTACATCTGTTGAGATGCTTATCGAGTGACCAAATTACCCTCAGGCCAATCTTGGGGGTTTCGTACGATTCAGTGATACAACAGAATTGTGATATTTATTGAACTCTTGCATAGGGAGAATTACGCTGAAGTTTGTCACTTAATCATTTAAATTTTTTGATATTTAAAATGTTACATACAAACCCTCTAAGCTTTGTACACATGAAACACTTATGCTCTATTTGGTATGATGAAAATAGAATGATAAAAAGTTAGAAGGATAAAAAGTTGGAGGGATAAATAAAACATCATGTTTGGTAAAAAAAGAAAATAAGAAGAATAAAAAAATTGATAAAAAATTAATTATTTGTGTTGAGGTGTATCTTATTTATCTATATATTATGAATACATTAATTTTATATAAAAATAAAATGATAAAATATGTATATATATATATATATATATATATATATATATATATATATATATATATATAAAATTAAAAAAATTAAAATTAAAATTTGAAAAATATTTTTTTTATCTTAACTAGGGGTGAAAATTTTAGACTCATCACGATGACACGATTCGAATTCGATACGAATTTATGATATGAACTCGATTATAACTCGACACGAACTTGAAAATGGTCTGATAAGCGAACAAAAAATATAAAAAACTTATAATTTTATGACTCAACACAAATCTGATACAACAAGATTCGATTGTCAATCCTAATATTAAACAAAAAAAAATTGGTCATTTTTATTTTTCATTAATCCAACCAAAAAAAAAGAAAAAAAAAGTGTATTATTCCTACTTTTCATCCTTCAAGGATAGAAAATGTGTCTCTCCTACTTTTCTTCCTTCCTATCAAACAGAGCATTAGACCCTTGTTGTCAATATCTGTTAATATATCTGTTCATAAATTATACTCAAACCCCTTGAAATTTATCAGCACATAATACTTAGATCTTTTAAATTTAAAATATTATACTTAAATCAAAAATATTTCAATCAAAGATTGAATATTAAATATTTTAAATTTTACAACAAAAGTTTATATTCTATTATGATATTTATTGAAATAAAATTAAAATAAAATTTCAATTTTTTTAAAAAAAAATTATAATTAGTATATAATTATAATATCTATTAGAATTTAATTTCATCATTTAAACAACCAAATTACCTTAATTAAAGTTAAAAGATATTGTATGTCCAATACAATTTGACCAATTTTTTGATTTTTTAGTTTTATTTCAATATATAGTATAATTGTATATTAATTATGATTTTTTTAAAAAAATTAGATTTTTAATTTTAATTTTATTTCAATAAATTACATAATAAACTTGAATTTTGGTTGAAAAGTTCATGTTCTATTATGAATGACTTAGACCCTTTACTTAATTTTTTAATTTTATTTAAATTAATAGTATAATTATATACTAATTACGATTTTTTTTTAAAAAAATTATTTTTTTTGATTTTATTTTAATAAATGATACAGTAAACACATGAATTTTGGTTGTAAAATTTATAATATTTAATATTCTATATTTGATTGAAATATTTTTGATCTATTTATAATATTTTAAACTTAAGGAACCTAAGTATTATACGCTTATAAATTTTAGAGGGTCTAAGTATAATTTACTTAAATATATACTAACGGACATAGACAGTAGGGGTCTAAGTGTTATGTGCGTCCAAATTTTAAGAAGTTTGTGTGTAATATTTCAAATATTAAGAGTTTTGAATGATTAAGTGACAAATCGTAGAGAGTTTGAGTGTAATTTTTTTTAATCAAATTTTGTATACCAGATATTATTAAATTAGTATATCTAATTAAATCCACTAAACATCCTCCGATCACGATTTTCGCACATCTTTTCATTCATTTGGTATATAAAATTTTATAAGAAAATTTTGTATTTCTATTATTTATTTTTTTTAGTTTAACGGTCAAAAGTGTTCGAATTAATTTACGCACACTTCGACTAAACCCTTTGCCAAACCAGTCAAAAACAAATCATTTATGTTGAGACTAGGATATTCATGAATAATAAATTTCTCAGTGTTTAGTCCTAAGAGATTAACAAAATTTGAACTCAAGACGTTTGTATTTACAACTTGTCTTTTTTACCACTTAAACTACCTTTAGAGTTGTTTCTCCAATTTTATTGTCGCATTTTCTTTTGTCTAGAGGTGTTAATCGAGTCGAGTTTTGTGGGTTTAAATCCGAGCCTAACGAGTTTAGTTTTTTAAATAATTTTGAGCCCGAGCTCTAGTCTTAGCCCGAGTAGTTCAATTATTTTACATATAAACGAGTCAAACTTTGAGAACTTAAACCGAGTCTTTTAGGTTCATTATTTTAAATAAACTTAAAAAATAATTCAAACTCAACTCATTTACAACACAAGTCGAATTCGAATAAAATTTTATTTAAGTCGAACTCGAAAAACCCGTCCAGACTAACACCCCAATTCTTGTCTGTACCTTTCTTGTCATTGGTTACTCAGGACCTCTGATGGTAATGTCTAGGTAAAATGGTCCAAGACTGGTTGTCTGTTCTATTTTTTCCCACCACCACAGAAAGAAAATTCTTATAAAAAAAACAAGTATATATACGACGCCTGTACATTTTAGATTACCTTACAATCTCCTTCAGTTTTCTTTTAAAAATAAAGAAATACATATAGTTTTTAGTTATTGTCAAACTAAACCCACTAGACTCGTTTCCAACACAAATTTTCAATGATGGTTGAGATAGTGATGTTCCATCTATATTCTGATTTAAGTACTAATGTGTGGGACCAAGAAATCTATAAAACATCCCCTACTTTAAGCAGGAATTAAAGTATTTTCTTATGATTCATAATTTATTAACTGTGTTCTTGCCAGGGTTGTCCTTGGATGAAACTCTTGCAAGGAATATTCTTTAATTAAGATACATGATGCTTGGGAACTGAGCGACCAAATCAACGGTCAGCTTGTCCTTCCCAACCCAATGGGAGACTACTTTTTTTTTATTTTTTGTGCAACCAGATTACATTGCAGTTTTGTCAAATCATTAATGAATTAATCCAATGATGTATAGAACCAAACCAAGGAAATCAATCCTTCCGGACATGACCCGACTCGCCTTTGAATAACCCAAGAATGAATTGAGTAGCTCTTTACACAAATCCAATAAGAGATGATCCATTATCAATCATACTTGGAAGCTATAATAGGCAGACTAGGAAACATAAATTGATCCATCATTTATGTCCATTCCAAGGAGCTCTGTCTTTTCTCAGCTCTTTTTTTTTTTATTACTCAATGGTAAAAGGTGGTGCGTCAATTAATTTATGCGTATTTTAATTAATTTTTTTTTCTGTTCAATCAAAAATAGACTATTCATATCGAGATTAAGATATTCATGAGAGATAAATTTCTCATGGCCTAATTCTAAAAAATTATTAAAATTCAAACTTATGATATCAAAATTTACAACTCATTCCTTGTTTATACTTGAACTACCTTACAAAAAAAATTTGTCAGCTTTGTCAAACTAGAATGACATTGAAAACATCCAGTATGAGACATGGGAAACTAATTTTGCCTAGGGGCTCAATCGCATCGATCTAACTTGGCCAAGAAAATACCCCTATTAAGTAAGTGGTAGGAGTTTTCTGAGAGAGAGAGAGAGAGATGGAGTGCAAGAAACTGGGCCATCTAGAGAAATGGCCTATCACGGTAGTCTCAAGTGTGCTTATATATCAACCATGAGATATGGGGGTGAGAGAAAAGTGAAGAGCGTGGCCTAGATTTTGGAGAAGAGACGCACAAACTTTATTCTGAATACACAATATACATGTATGGGTTTTTGTAGTAGTGTTAAAAAAAGAAAAAGTAGGGAATTTTTGGCAGATTTTGAAGAGGGATTAGGAGGCAAGGAGTGCGATCGAGTGAATTGTTTTGTTGGGGTTGCTGGTGGGTTTGATGATGATGCACGCCGGCAGCTTTTCTGACGTGTCTTTCTCTCTTCTCTCCCACCAAAAAAAACCCATCACGCCTGCTGCCACTCAAAAATTATATAATCTCTCACTTTCTCTCTCTCTCTCTGAAATGAAAAGCTAATCCACTAACCCATATGTCTATCTCGACATTGTTATCTTTTTATCACTCTTTTTTGAGTAATGTTAAGTGAACTTAAAAATTATACTTGATAATTTTAATTATTAAATAGGTAGTAAATTCTAATAAATATTGAAATTCACACTAAAATTAATTATTATAATTATTAAATCTACTTTTTAAATCTATGTATCATTGCTCCTCTTTCCTTAATTCTAATATCAAAAACCCATCTACTCCATGTTACCTTCCATGCTTTTACAGAAAACCCTACAACTTTCAATCCCCACCTAAACTTTAAAAAGACACCAAAAAGAATAGCTTGTAAAGAAACCACCCCACCACTCCAATTTCTCTTATCGATTCCCCAAAAGAAAAGCAAAAGTTCTACTCAGATTCCTCTGATTCTCTCTCTCTCTCTCCAATTATGTTTTTGTTTGAGAAAAAACCGAGCTAAAATCCAACACCAAGATCCTCTTTTAATCATTCTCTATCCCAATTCACTGTTAAAAACACAACCAACCCATCCTCCTGCGTCCAAAGAGCTAACAGACTCATACAAGGTTTATTTTTTGATGTGGGTCTTTGGCTAAATGGATACGTTGTTTAGACTAGTCAGCCACCAATCCGATCAGTCCTTCAATTCTAGCAGAACTTCAAGCAGCTCCAGATCTTCTAAACAAAACCATCACCAAGAAGAAGAAGAATGCTTCAACTTTTTCATGGATGAAGATGATTTCTCTTCTTCTTCTTCCAGACAATACTATCCTTACCCACAGCAACACCAAACTTCTAACACCCCCACCCCTACACAAACCACAACAAACACAAGCACTCCAACACACCAAGTCTTTGAATCTGCTGATTTCTCTTTCTCTCCCGCTCGAGACATAAACCTTGAATTCGCCTCTTCGTTTTCCGGCAAGTGGGCTTCGGATATTCTGATCGAGGCAGCTCGAGCGATTGCTGATAAGAACAGTGCTCGTCTTCAACAGTTGACGTGGATGCTCAATGAGCTCAGTTCACCTTATGGTGACACCGATCAAAAGCTCGCCTCCTACTTCCTCCAAGCCTTGTTTAGCCGCATGACAGACTCCGGCGAACGGTGTTACCGGACTTTGACGTTAGCTTCGGAGAAGAATTGCTCTTTCGAGTCTACCAGAAAAATGGTGCTGAAATTCCAAGAGGTGAGCCCTTGGACTACATTCGGCCATGTTGCTTGTAACGGTGCAATCATGGAAGCTTTTGAAGGTGAGAGCAAGTTACATATAGTTGATATTAGCAACACGTACTGCACACAGTGGCCTACTTTGCTTGAAGCCCTGGCGACTCGCACAGATGAAACGCCGCACCTACGGCTCACCACCGTGGTAGCCAGCAAAGCCGGTGGCGCCACCGGAGGAGAAGTTTCGGCGCAAAGGGTCATGAGAGAGATTGGAAACAGAATGGAAAAGTTTGCTAGACTCATGGGTGTTCCCTTTAAATTCACCGTTGTACACCATACAGGTGATTTATCAGAATTGAATTTGGCTGATTTGGATATCAAAGATGATGAAGCACTTGCAATCAACTGTGTCGGCGCCTTACATTCCGTTTCAACGATCGGTGACCGCCGGAACTTTCTAATATCGATGTTTCTGAGATTGCAGCCTAGGGTTTTAACTGTTGTTGAAGAAGAAGCTGATCTTGATGTGGGTACTGATGGGTTTGACTTTGTTAAAGGCTTCCAAGAGTGTTTGAGATGGTTTAGGGTTTACTTCGAGTCAATGGACGAGAGCTTTCCAAGAACAAGTAATGAGAGATTGATGCTCGAACGCGCCGCCGGACGTGCAATCGTTGACCTGGTCGCTTGCCCTCCGTCGGAGTCAATCGAACGGCGACAGACCGCCACGCGCTGGTCACATCATCTGCATGCGAGTGGGTTAGCCCTGTTTTGTTTAGTGAAGAAGTGAGTGATGATGTACGCTCTCTTCTGAGGAGATATAAGGAGGGTTGGTCGATGGCACAGTGCTCTGATTCCGCCGGAATATTCTTGTCCTGGCGGGATCAGCCGGTGGTTTGGGCTAGTGCATGGAAGCCTTCATAAGTTTGACTTGCACAACGAATGGAGGTTAGTCGCACGTGTGTTGTTTTTGGGCA